AGCCCCGAGCCAGAAGTGACCCTGCTGATCTACTCAGACCTGCCAGGAAAAGCACTGCGGAAGTGTTCTCTCATCGACAGACAGAGCAGTGACCTGCAGAAATGAACACGTTCCTTCTGCAAAGGTCCTGCTTAATAGGTGCCAGAAACCGGCTGCTTTGCTTGCAAGTGGTCTTATCTCTTCCTCTTCCACCTCTCACAATTTGTTTTACATCCTCTGCTTGTTCCTGTTCTCTCTGTTCTGAAGAATTTTAGGCTCGGTGAAATTCTCCCTGTGGTCACCTATGAGTTATCCCAAATCAAGTTCCCGGCTGGTCAGCCAAGCAAGAACCTTACTGAAGGGGCAGCAAATACCTGGTTTCAATGGGTAAAAGGTGGGAGAAGTTGTAAGAGGCAGCACTATCCTGTCACAGGTTCTAAAACCAGCCCTGTCACACAGCACTTGTGTGCTGCCTTTTTTAAACTCTTAACTTCAAGCACATATTATTCCTTAAACAATAATAAAAGAAAAAAGAGAGCTGCATAATGCTACACGCTGACTGTGTCTACATTAGCAAGTAAAATTGTACAGGAGGAGCAGATCTAGTTTGTGTGCAGTACCCGATGTCCTCACTACGTGGGTTTTGGGCATTTACTTTGGATTTGCTTCAGTCCGGTCATACAGACTGAGCATCCACTGGAGTGCATTTGCAGTTCAGTTTCGTCTGAGGAGGATCCTGTTCACATGCTTTGAGATGGTTCTGCTGTGCAAACTAAAGCACCATAAGTGGACTTCAAAAGTACACTCCTGAGCTGAATTAAAGTACTCATGTATATGCACCCAGTGTTAAACAAGGTGTGGGACTGTTGCAGTATTATAGACAGAAGGAGAATATCTTTGAAGTCAAAATATTAGGTAAGGCTTATATTTTAACATGTCTTTTTTCCTGTTGCCCTCTTCCTTTTAGTTTTAGCATCCTAATAAGAAAATGGAGACAATTGATCTGCTAGATGTTAACAAAGGTGGAGTTAACTGATCAGCACAAGGGAGAAGAGGAAAAATAGTCTGATCTGCTCTCTTGAAGATGAAACGAAGATAATGCATAGAAACGGGGAAATAAAGGGAGCAGAGATGAAAAGAATTTTTCTGGTGTGCTTATTTGCAGCTTTATCTCTGGAAAAAAAAGACAGGCATCTTAATCACCCATTCCAGAAGATGGCAAACTTGACAGTGCTATTTTTGCTTGGAATTGTTAGAACTTTCCTTCTGCCTAATCCAGCCTCTTGATCATTTACTTCTTTTGCTCAATTAGATTCTTATATCGGTGGACAACCTGGGTGTTGTGCGGTGGCCCATTACTCTCCCAAATGACAGTGGTGAAGAAGCTGACTTTGTCCTTTCCTTCCAGCACTGGGGTTGTCTTAACCAGAGGTCATCTTCTTGTTCCTGTGAAGAAAAAAAAAAAAGAAAAAAAAAAGGAGGAATTTATCAGCAGCAGCATGTCTCGGCTAATTTGTCCCTTTTATATCAATTGCTAATTCCCTTCTATAGAAAGTCTGTCTAGAGGCAAAAATCAACTCTGTGTGCAGACTGCTTTTTCAACTCCGCGGAGCGTAGAGAAGGAGAATTACCTCGGATCAGGAGGTCACCTTCTGTTTTCTCCTGGAGCGTTAGCAGCTGGTTTTCCCGCCTCCCGCCGCTCTGCCCGAAGGAGCTGCGAAAGAGGCAGCGTTTGGCAGGGCGGGAGCAGTCCCAGTGGCAGCAAGGACCAGGGGACTCCAGCCCTGGGGCTTCCGAAGGGCGAAAGCAAAGCAGGGTGGCATCCTGCGGCGCTGACACATCCCAATGTCACAGCAAGCTTGCCAGGCCGCAGCAGTAACTTCAAAACCACCTCTCCGGCTTTTGCCGTGCTAATTCAGGCTGCTTCAAGAACGCCATGGTGGGGTGGGAGTACCGCCGTTGTTATCAGTAGGCATAGCTCGTTATTTAGTAGATGGTTCCCGAGTGTTCAAAAATGCACAGGCCTCAGCAGAATGGCTATTGATATTCGATATCCACCACTGTTCGGGGGTTAAAGTTTATATCTGCAGTGTGGAACTGGCCCAGTTGTAAAACTGAGAAAACTACCTTGCGGGCAGCAAAACTAACTAAATTGCAGTCCAGAGTACTAGCGAGTTGCTCTGGATATCAGAATAATTTAGGCTGACGTGGTGACTTTTGAACTGGAACAGCACCCATGTAGTGCAAGACCAGGATGTAAATTTGTGGCTTTCTAAAAACATAAATCCTGTGCATACTGGTAGCTCCCTATTTGCAAGGGCTCCTAATTCTTTCTCCTTCAGAGCAACATTACCCAAGCCACGATATGATCTCATGCGTAGAGTTAAAAAGGAGTACGTGTGACAAGTGAGACAGGTCTTTTAAAGAGTAGGAACACTGGTTGGGGATGGGAGCAAATAGATAAAATTTCTGGCTTTTAGAAACTTGAGGTATGTTATAATACTCAGTCATAGTTTAATTCTGTCTACGTTAATGGCTGGAGCCAAAAATCATTTTATTTTTTTTTCTGATGAAAATTGAATATTTTGCAAGATTGTACTGATTTTTGAGAGAGTGGGATATCCTTGAAAATGTGGTTTTAAAACCATAAGTGTCAATGAACAGCAATAAATTGTGCTTTGCCTGTATTTCTGATCTGATCTTCCCCCTCTCCCCCTTGCTCAAATAGGGGAAACATTTTTCCAAGGTAAACCTCAGCATTTTAACTTTTGATCTAAACTGATGGTAACGCTTTATTTTTATTTTTTTTACCACTTTCCATTTCACAAATCTGTTGTCAGTTGTTAATATGTTTATTAAACTTCAGCAG